CTAACATTAACGCGTCGTTGGTTCCCTCCCCAGGCCTGAACCCAAACTGCGATTGTCGTAATCGGTGATCTGCTCCGCCCCGAACAAATCGATGATGTAGGAGTTCTGCTAAGATTTTGAATCCAACCGGCAATGACGAGATAGGCCTGCAATTTAAAGGTAAAGCGGCACTTCCTTCTTAAACTCGGCCCAAATACCAGCCCAGTCCAGCTACATTAAGCTCAGCCCAGCTCCGCGCAGCTCATCCTGGCGCAGCTCATCCCAATACAACCCAGCCCCGCTCTGCCCAGCTCTTTCTAGCCTAGCCGACATCTGCATAGCTCTGTCTTGCTCGTCCCAGCTCAGTCCAGCTCGGCCAACCTGAGCCCTGCCAAACTCAATCCAGTTCAAGCCTGTTCAGCCCAGCCTATCCCGGATCCGCCCAGCACGGCTCAGCCAATCGCTGTTCCGCCCAGGGCAGTTCGGCCTCAGCGAGCCCCGACCAGCTCCGACCACTGCAGCTCAACCACCTAAGCCCGACCCAGCACTGCTCGGCTCAGCGCGATCCAACCCGATCTAGCCCGCGAATCTCGGCTCACCTCAGCCCGGCCCAAATCGCCAAACGAAATCCACACGCGGGCGCGATGCCGCATCGCGCCTGGCCTCGACAGGGCCCGAGCACCACGAATGCACATCTGGGCGGCGCGCGGGCTCTGACTGGCCCAGCGCGTGCAAATGTCGGCCCCGCCGCCCGCCCGCTCATACCCAGCCGCGCCCTGCGGGCCGCAAGGAGGGGGGGGGGCGGCGGCGACGTGCTCCCGCGGGCCAGGTCTACCTTTGGAGCACCCAAGCGAGAGTTTACATACATACATGCATACACACACATATATATATATATATACATATATCAGGGTGCGCGTGTTTTCTCTGAAGAAGGGGAAAGGGGGTCATCGACGATGGGAGAGGAAGGTGGAGAGGCGCATGTGATGAACAAGAAGGAGCGGGAGGGGCAGGGGAGGGGGAAATGGTGCGGGGGATGTGTGTGTGTGTGTGAAGATGTGTGTGTGAAGATGTGGAAATGGGAAGGGGTGGATATCGTGAAGGGGGAGGGGGGCTGCCTGTACGCAAACCTTCTGCGCCGTGCTTGAGGAACGCATGGAGGATGGCTAAGGATGGAGCGCGCTCTCCTGCGCTAAGTCTGCGAAAGAGTTGCAACTTCCCTGTCGCTCACCTGCGCGCTGCCACAGCGTGCGTCGCTACATGCCCAGCACGACCAGATCTGCCCCTGCGAGGTCGCCAGTCGGAGGCCCTGAAGCGGTGACCACACCAAGCCCAGACTGTCGCGTGACAGACCGTCTGATCGGGGTGGGACTTCTCGGGCCATCCTGAAGGGGGCGGGACCTGGACATCTAGGGCTTGCGTTCCAGCACTCGCAAAGTAGCTACTCGCAAATGGCATGGATCCGTTGCGTCGAGGCAGAAAGGCTCCGCTGCATCGAGCAGCATTTGTTTTTTTGACGCTTGCGAGTCGGCACGTTGCGAGTAGTGGAACGCGCTCGGTCATTGTTGAGGACCCCGCAGCCCCAAGGAGAGGGCCCTGGGGAGGACGACAAACGGCGACGAACCTCGCGGCCTCTCTCCCTCGCGAGCCGCCTCATCCACATGGCGAGAGCTGGGGACACAAAGATACTGATACAGTCGGACCCATGCCAAAAGAGCATCAAAAAAACATCAGACCCTCCGTCGGCCAAAACGAGCAAAGCATCCAAGGGTACCCTCCCCAGGGTGCACAAGAACATCCAACAACCACGAACAACATAAGGGTACCCTCCCCGAGTCGACCTCGATCTTACGCCGCGGTCCGACTCTACTGATACTCCCCAGACCTCTCCCCGCGTGCGCTCTGACAAGGACTTCGGGGCGAACCCAGCCACTGCGACGAGGGCCTTGCAGGAAACGTCGCGGCACGGGTGCACCCAGAGACGCACAAAACGGCATAAACATAAACATGACCTTTCGACGGTCCGTGCGGATTTCTTGGATCTGCGCTGGACCCCCCTCCCTGGCGCGCTCCGCGGGCCAGGGGCGGCGCAGTAGGCGCCGCCAGGGGAACCCAGGCGCCGATCCAAGAAATCTGCGCGGAGCTCCGAAATTTATGCTTATGCCCTTGTACCTTCCACGACTACCGGAAACTTGAGCAGGGACCGACCATCCCGGCATTCCTGTAGGCATACCACGAAACGCACGAAGGTCAAAACCAGAGTTCTTAGGACATCAAGCCGATGTGCTCAAACGCGGCGGTGCCAGCCAGAAATGCCCTCCGAACACTTCGTGCAGACCGCACAGGGTTCTCAGAACATTCTTCGGCGTGCCCATAGGCGAGCCACTGCTTGAGAGTCCTCTCCTCCTCTGCTGCAGGCCCTGCCCGCGGAGAGGGCGCGCAACACACTGAGCCCGACCGGCGGCCGCGCCCCGTGGGCGGCGGCCGGAGGCCTCTCGCGCAGCGCCGGCTGCTGGTCCGCCGCCTCCGCGCACGCGCTGGCGCTGCGCGAGGCCCCGGGCGCCAGGGCGGCGATCTGCGACGCGGACCTGCGGCCGGCGTCGGGTTGCCAGAGAGGAGGAGGAGGAGGAGGAGGAGGAGGAGGAGGAGGAGGAGGAGGAGGAGGAGGAGGAGGAGGAGGAGGAGGAGGAGGAGGAGGAGGGGGAGGAGGGGGAGGAGAGGAGGAAGGAGGAGGGGAGGAGGAGAGGAGGAGGGGCTGGGAGCGCTCACGGCCGGGCCCGCGCGCGGAGCACGCGGGGGCCACAGCTCGGTGTCGGAGGGTGTCCGGGCACCTCCTCACGCCGTCGGTGCAGTGCGGGCGGGCGGGCCAGTGGCCAAAGCCCCACGCCCACTCCTGCAAGGAGAAGCCGGCAAAGATGTACACGGCGAAGCAATTACGGAAGCCATGACCAAAGGGAAGCCAGCGACTGACGAAGCAAGGCGTGCTGCATCGCGCTCCAAGACGGCGGCCATTGGAGCTCACACAACAACGCTGATATGTGTCATCCTCTCCTCCTCGCTGCCGAACCGAACTGAAAGCATGCATGTGGAAGGGACGACGAGGGACGAGGGCGACATTTGCAGGCCGCAGCGCCAGAGAGCATGCCGAGGCGCGGACAGCGTCGCCCGCGGAGGAGGCGGCAGAAGCTCGTTCGCGGCGGAGGTGACGGAGCAGGCGAAGGACATGTCCGCCATCGACTGTTCCTACTGGGCTGCGCGGGCAACAGTGGGAAACGGCTGGAATCTCGGGCTCCTCCCCCTCCTCCTCCTCCTCCTCCTCCTCCTCTTCCTCCTCCTTCTCCTCCTCCTCCTCCACCTGCTCCTCCATTTGCTCCTCCGCCTCACCGATGGGGAGAGAGAGAAAGAGAGAGAGAGAGATGTAAGAACGACAAAGATTGAAAACTGGGGGGTCTGATGTAGAAGATCTGTAAGGAGATACGTGAGGAAGCTATGTAGGGAATCGCGGAGAGTGGCGGGAAGATGGAGAGAGGGAGAGGACGGTGTGTTGGACAGGGGACATGGGGAGGGGAAACATGGAGGAGGAGAAGGAGGAGAAGGAGGCCGAGGACATGCGAAAGGCCAGAGCCGAAGGCAAAGTGACCGACCCAAGCGAATGCGGGCGCGCCCTGGATCTACTCTGCGATCCCGCGGAGGCTCGAGCGCCTCCTCGTCCCGGGCCCGCGCAGGATCCAGGCTGGACCGCGGCGGGGCCCCGCAGGGACCACCGCGGGAGGGGGAGGCCCGAAGGAGACCAGGCAGCTCCGCAGGGCGCGTGCCGTCCGCGCTGGAGCGGCGAGGGCGGCGGCAGCGGGGCAGCTCCACGAGCTTGCGCTCTCGGGGCGCCGTGGAAGCTTGCGGAAGAGGGCGGAGGCAGCACGGCAGATCGCACCCGTGCGCGGCGGGCCCACTTCGCGTCTGCCCTGCGCAGCTGCCGCGTCAGACGCGAGGTATGGGCGCTGCCTCCTGGGGGGGGGGGGGGGCAAAAAACTGGCGGAGTGGGCGGGTGGAAGAAAGGTGCACCTTTCGTACACATTCGGGGCCCCACGGGGGCCGCATTCTGGGTTTGTTGAAGGCCCCTCCCCTGCAGCCCTCGATCACCCCCCCCTCATCGCCCCCCCCCCCATGACGGCACGCCCGCGAGGTCGGCGGCCGTCCTTGTGCCGGAGGGCGCGATGATGTCGGCCTGCGTCTCCGGGATCCACGCTGGGAGCGCAATGGCGCCTCGCGTCAGCCCGGCGCACCTGCCCTGCAGGCCGATTGCGCGCGCGCAGCGGCGCTGCCGGGTTGTCGATGTCACCCCCGTCGAGCATCGCGGGGGGCACTGCGCGCCGCGCCTCGCAAGGGCAGCGGTGGGCACGCGTCCTCAACATCCGAGTCGCCCGACGAAGGCCAGACGCTTCGCGTGGCCGATGCCGATCGTCACTCAGGTCTGCAAGGCTGTCTCCACGACGCGGAAAAAGTCATCATCCACCTTGGCGTGGGCGCTCTTAGCGACGAATTGGACATGACACGGAAGATTCGTGGCGGGAGAACTTCTGCGTTGGTCTATGACACCGAACGGTGTGGTAAACCTTGAAGAAAGATCACGGTCTCCGATCGCGCGGGTCTCACGGTGTGGGTGGTTTCGGGCCACTGGCGGCGTTCAACCTTGAACTGCCGCTGGGGTCGCTGCCCATGTGTATTAATGAACGGCACGAGCCCACCGTAGCCAATGTGTTACTGCTGCGCATGAGCTCAATCCCGCGGCCCGTGGCCAGCTCAAGACGAGGCTGGTGCCGCGAGCTTTCGTGTCTCTCGCCTGCTGTTCTGAAGGTGTCACTATGGTCCCCCGTCATCGACACCTGACCTGCATCATGCAGCCCAGGGTCATGCAACTTGGGGACTGGCGAAATGGCCGATAGCGAAGCCAAGAAACAGTCGCAAGACCGCGCTGACGTTTGGTTCGACTCCTTCCTGTGTCCCTTCTCGCCGTCAACGTTCGTGTGTGGATCGCCCGCGCACCGCCATTGCAAGAAGAGCACGTCGCCCCCAAACATGCATGCCACCCGAGCGCACACTCGTCGCGAAGCCAGTGCGAGGTAGCGTCAGCGGTGCAGCGAGCTGCGACAAGCAGTCCACGTGCATCCTGATATATCGATGTGTGGATATGTGTATACATATGTTTATACATACACATATTCATGTACAGATGGACACCGTGAATTTGTCACCCTCACTGTCCTCACCCTTGCTGTCCTCGACATGGAGCTGTAGAGAGGCAGCAGGGGCCACGAGCACTCGGTGGCGCGCGTCGCCGGTCACGGGGGCCGCGAGGCAAGTGCACGGCAGGCGCCTCCGAAGTCAGGCATCCGAGGCCATGTTCACTTCGTCCTGTCGCGGCTTGCCTCCGCCGTGCTTGGCAGGGTTTGCCGCGCGGCGCACGTGCTCGCAAGCGCAGGCGGGGCATCGACGCGAGCAGAGAGGCTCAGCGAGGCAGCAGCTGCAGCAACCCTGTCGTGATCGCGCTCATCGCCCGCAGCCAGGTGCTCCGCAGCGTGCCCAGCGACTGAACCACTCCGACCGCATTGTTCTCCAGTCAGCATGAGACCGCCACCCAGCAGTGCGAGAAAACCTGGCGGACAGAGAGTAGCGCCTACCAGGCAAGGAGGGATGAGGGAAGAGGGAGGAGGAAGAGGAGGAGGAGGACGAGGAGGACGAGGAGGAAGAGGAGCGAACGCGGCCATGAAGGGGCGGCATCCTGCCTAGGCGGAGCGCGGCCCACCGCCGCCCGAGAGGTCCGCGGGGAGCCTCAGGGAGAGCGCCAAGCGGTAGCGACGCCGTCGTAGCTTTGCTTGCTGGCCAAGGTGCCCTGGGCGGCCGCATCCTTTGTCGGGTGGTGGGGACGGCTCACCATGGCCAGGCGCGCCACCGAATAATGCTTGATGTCATTTTCTCCCTTGTAGCCCACGCGCGTGAGCAAGGACGAAGACAGGCACCCGCGCGGCAGGGCGAGGAAGCGCAGCAGCTTCGGGCAGTAGTGTTGGATGTTGTCGAGGGCCTGGTGCCCGAAGTGGCACCACATCCTCCCCGTCAGCACGTGCATGCGATGCGAGGTAGTCCAACCACCAACGATGGTCTCCAGCGAGGCCCAGAGGTGCGCAGGCGGCAGCGTGGCCAGGTACGTCCGCAGCCGCAGCCACCTCGCATCCGGGTCGGCGGGCGCGGAGCCAGTGTCCAGCAGATCCGCAGGCTCTTCGCCCATGTCGTGGTCATGCTGCGAATTCATTTTTGTTTGGGGGGGTCGGGCGCGATCGTCTGTCGGCTCGCGATCCAGCGGGGCCGCGCACGGGGCCTGGCCGCATGCTCCTCGCATGCGGCGGCCTGCTCGCGGGTGGCGCTGCTGCTGGTGCCCATGCTGCCCAGCAGCCTCGGCTCGAGGAGGCGCTCCATCCTGCCATGCCCGGCGGCGCACGTCCTGCGCGATGTGGCGCCCTTGTGCGCTGCAGTCGTACAGCGCCTGGAAGACGCCTGGCAGCAGCACGCCGTGAAGGTACGTACTCGACGCTCCAATCCATCCAGTCCTGCTCATGGTTGAAGTCACGGGTCTCCAGCAGCACGTCAGGAATCCATCTCGTGGCCCATGCGTCCGCGCGCTGTTTCAGGCGGCCCTAGACATCCGTAGCCAGGGCGCGAGCGGGATCAGGAGGCCGACGCGTGCACTGGGTGCCGAGCTGCGGGAACCACGCCACAAGGCGACGAAGGGTACTCTGCGCCATGGTGTCGGTGTAGAACCGCTCCTGGAGGGCAAGCATGTCGGCCTTCTGCAGGGTGCGGGGTGCAATCGCGAATCATCTGAAAACAAACACGCAAGTGTAGGCTTATTTTCCTTGCCAGCCTCGTGGCGGTCCAGGATGGCCATATTGCCTTTGCGCGCTGCGTGGCAGGGAGCGGCCTGGATCACCCCACGAGCACGCTGCAGCGAGTTGGAAGTCCCCAGGAGGCGCTTGAAGTCAGATCCCCTGCGTTCGGCGAAGTAACCCCGCAGGGTCTTTAATCAACCCCCGGGCAATAGGGGGAAACAACTTACATAACTGCAGGCTAATTGACGGATTGGGACCCAAACAATAATTGGTAAATTCACGTTTCCCCACGGAGGCCACAGCACGGGCATCCGCGAGAATCGTCGCCGCCGCCGTCGTCGTCATCGCTCCCACGACTGGTACTCCTACTATTACGACTACTACTACTACTACTACTACTACTACTACTTCTACTACTACTGCTACTACTACTACTACTACTACTACTACTACTAATACTACTACTACTAAAGCTACCACTACCACTAACACCACCACTACTACCACTACTACTACTACGACTACTACTACTACTACTACTACTACTACTACTACTACTACTACTACTACTACTACTACTATTACTACTACATTTACCACATTTACTACATTTACTACATTTATCACATTTGCATTTACTTTTTTTTTTTTTTTTTTTACTACTATACTACTACGACTTACGACGACTACTACTACTACCTTTTTTTCTACTACTACTACTACTACTACTACTTTTACTATTACTACTACTACTACTACTACTACTACTACTACTACTACTACTACTACTACTACTATTTTCACCACTACTACTACTACTACTACTACTTCGACTACTACTACTACTACTACTACTACTACTACTACTACTACTACTACTACTACTACTACTACGACACTACTACGGCTACGACTACTACTACGACTACGACTACGACTACGACTACGACTACGACTACGACTACGACTACGACTACTACTACTACTACTACTACTACTACTACTACTACTACTACTACTACTACTACTACTACTACTACTATACTCCTACTACTAGTAAGTACTACAATTACTACTAGTGATACTGCAGCAACTGAACTACTACTATGACGACTGCTTCTTACTCGGCTACGACTACGGACAACTACTTACTGCTACTGCTACTTATACTACCACTACTTATTACTACTTACTATACTACTACGACTACTAATACTGCTTTATACTACGGACTACTCCCTCACTTCTACTACGAGTTACTACTACATCGACTTACTACTACTACTACTACTACTACGTAATAATACTTGCTGATGCTGCTACTTACTACGACTACTCCTCCCCCATCCTACACTACTACTACTA